GCCTTGATGATGAAAGTACCTCCCACTTTAACTCAATTGAAATCATCAACCTGCATAGTTTTATAATAAATTTATTTTAAATTTAAATTACACACCCACACACACACACATAACTAAATAAAACTAAATTTATTTGATGGTATAAGAATCTAACGCAAGTTTACTAAATGTAATATAAGTTTATGTTATAAACCCTCATAATTACATAAATTTTTAGTTGTATCAAATAATGTACCAAAAAATTAAACTTTTGGTGTAGGAATGTGGGTGTCTTGGTAATACTTAGACCAAAAAATTTCAAGAAATAATAAAATTTTTGTTAAGGTTATTAAGAAATTTTATAATTTAAAAGGTAATTATCATTAATTGTTATAATAGAAATTTAAAGGTTTTTAAGAATTATGTTCGTAAAGTTAATTTTTTTTATTATTGTTGAAATGTCTCTAACTTTATCATCTGACATGAATCTTGAGATATGATATGGATCTTAAGACGGATTTTTAAGCATGAAATGTTTAAATATCGATAAATTATCAAGAACTCCAATTTCAGCAAAATTATAGTCAACTTGATTGACTCGACAAGAAGAACCAAATTTTACTAAAATTAGTCCAATTCGAGTCAAATCAAGCTCAGATCAAGTCATTAAACAACTCTTGAAAGTTTTCCTGTCTTATTTAGAAGTTTAAACGAATGTCGAATCTAGCAAGCCTATAGTTAAATCGAGGGTCTCGAAAAGACGAATTCAAAGAACCTAAGATTGCCCAATTCCAACATCGTTAATGCACTTAAATGTCCATCAAACGCATTATGATTAAATGAAGTCCTTCGAACCGCCCAATCAAATTAATTCATATTTTTGCATTAATTACACTCATAATACTATAAATAGAGCCTCACCGTTCTCATGAGAGGGGGGTTAGAGGCTTGAAAGAGAACTTGAAATTTGAAAAAGAGTTTGAAGTTTTGAGGACCTTAAGGCTAGCATCATCTTTGTTGTCGTCGACCATCGTCGATCTTTGTTGGCTACTGCTGACCACCGTCAATTTCCACCTGACGACCTCCACCGATTGGCATAGCCAACCGCCCACTTCTGACAACAAGTTGCATCGACGTTGTCCAAAGAGTGTTTACCCCTTTCCAGCCTACGGGACGGGGGACTTTACATGTAATATCCAGTTTATAGTAGATTTCTCAGCTGGACTAGACCCCGCGATTTTTTTCCTTTATGAGTTTTCCACGTAAAAATTTATGGCGTCACTACTTATTGTTTTCTTTTATCTAAGTGTGTGCTGAATTTTCGTGCAACTCAAAGACGATGATTCATTACTCTACCGCCTCGAAATTTCTAACACGCATCAACTCTTACCAGCATTTATCAAATTTTTTATCATGTAGATAATACATCTTGCAATATTCATAAACGATTTGACTTTATCATGCACATTATATATCTTGCAATATTTATAAGCTAATTATCACTTATGAAATGCTGGTTTGACTTTACATATTATTTTTTGTTGGCTGATTTTTTGTTTGGTGCTATTTATAGATATTAAAAATGTTATTTTGACTCCCAATTAATGAACTAAAGTAAAATTGCACTTTTGTAATGTGGTACCGCTCACCTACCACATCTCACCTACCGTTCACATACCGTTCACCTACCTCCCACCCCCACCCCCCCTCCCGCTCCCCTCCCGGCCACCTACCGGCCACCTACCACCCCCCTCCCCCCCCCCTACCACTCTCTTGCTTCTAGAAATCTTAAGGGTGTGAGGCTTAGGAGAGAAAATGGAGAAGAGATCTTAATCTACCACAAAAGAGGAGAGAATAACTATAGAGTTAGAGAGGAGGAGAGCATCTTGAGGCCTTGTATCAATGTGTCGCTTGAGAGGGAGGCCATAGAAGGAAGATTCTATGCCAGGAAGTACATATCTCACAACAATTGACGCCGTCTGTGGGAAGATCCATACTTCTTGGCTAGAGGGGTCCGCGTAAAGGTGTTCGCGGCCAACGACGAAGAAGAGGAGATCGACATTCATGAACAAAGGAGCAAGTGGATCGTGTCGCAGGTAGTCAAATCGCGACAGATTCGGTGAGCAGTGAAAGTTTTGCTCGACTGGATTCGCACCGCAGGTTGTGCAGTTTGGCAAGAAGGAGGAACAGTCATCGAGCGAGGGCCGAAAATTTGCGACA